GAAAACATTCCGTTATATACCGCCACCTACAGGCCAGTCCTGCTCGCTTTTTTTCTGTTATTATTTTTAAAGAGGGGTTTTTTCTCCTGTAAAATTAATCCAATCATTTTTAACTTTTTCCGAGGAGTTTTTTTCACCCCCCAATCTTCATGTTTCTCAATGGACTTCTAATTCAGAAACTATGAATTGCATTTTGTAAAGATTCAGCCTACCTCGTCTAAAACTCGCATGCAAATTTATTTTAACTTGCATTGATGGGACCCCGACGGGTCTTTAATAAAAATTATCTATCTAAAATTATCTATCTAACATATACCTGTGAAGCCGACATTTAAATGTCTCCGCGACTGAGACATGGCAATCGTCTCGGGCAGGTTATTCCACGATTCCACGACACGGTTGGAGAAGAAATATTTTCTCCCATTCAATCTACCCTGGGGCAAGCGTAGCTTGAAGGGATGTTCCCGGAGGTTAGTTGTAGTGGCGAGTTGGAAAAAGTCGTCGCACCGAAGGGCGCACTCCAAGCCACGCACGATACGGAAAGTTTTATGAAATCACTGCGCAACTGCCTATAACTCAGAAGGTAGAGATTAAGGTTACTTAAGCGGATTTCTTATGGCACACACATTTTAAAAGTACTTTCAGGAAGACGAACTCCCGGAATAATAAAATTACCCGTTACTTCACCAATCTACATAAGGGGATCGCGATTTCACTGCGAAAATGATCGTCTTCTCTACCTAACTTACATCGCCTACAAGATGATGTGGCGTATTATCAAAAGACACTTAAAGAGATATCTGGAAGAAAATGAATAACCTTTTGGTACCATAGTCGCTCTCGTCAAGGACGTTGTTATATCACAAGCGTTCTTTGCTTTAACTTCAAAAAGGCCTTTTATTGTGCACCACGCAGGCTGCTTTTACAGAAGATTCGGGATATGGGAATTCAAAGAAGAACGCTTATATGAATGGTGAGTTTCCTGTCCTCCAGTTTGCAGGGTGTCGTTGGCAATTCTACCCCGGATTCGGCAGAAGTGGAAAACGCTTCCCTCAAAGTCCTGTTTTAGGCTCAATACCCTCCATGATCTATGTCAACAATTGCACTAGCAAATTAGATTCTGGGGCCTTCATGGTCCCAGATGACACTAAAGTGCCGTGCAAAGTTATTTGTTTTGATGACACAATGAAGTCTCGATCGAACATCGACAAGCTGCGTTTGATCAAACAATATGTCCAATCGCTTGGCTCTATACCTCAACGCCGGTTTAAATTTCTCTCTATATCATCAGAATTATGGTAACGGGATTGAAGTAGATTTAGAGAACCACAGGAATTTGCGTATGTAGACGGCCACAAAGTCAATAGAACACTATTTAACACTATAGGAAGATGGATCAGAAGGCAACTAATACGTTTCGTTGGATATCTAGAGTGCGATATTTGAGTGCGTAGAATGGAAAACCGAATTAATAAGAGTCTGCATGCCTAAGCCCATTCTCGCTGATCCAGAATATTTAACCACTACTGCCTGTGATCAGGATAAACGCCTCGGTACATTGTTTTGTCTCGTAATAACCTATCCCAAGGTCATAGCGCACGGAAACAGGTACGGGGTACTGAGTCGGCTACCAGATGAGTACTAAAAGGATATCCGGGAGTAGATTTCGCAGTTTTCTTCTGTCTCCGCATTTTGAAGTTAAAAAGAAAATTATTCGTAGCAAATTATTTGGATTCTGTTATTTTTCAAACCACTAAAACCGTAAAAAGATTAATTATCCGTCGGACTGAAAAATATGAGGAGGGCTCAATGTGATCCGATCAACAGGGCGACGTGCATATACATACTTATATGCGTATTCATACTTGCTGAACTTATCATACAATCGACGCTTAAAATAATAAACAATTCAGCAAATACTGACGATTATTTGCTGAACTGTTAATTCATCCAACCGCTGATTGTATTAAGTCAGTTTACTATTAAGGGAATGAGGCTTTCGCCCTTGAGCTCCCTATATATATATATATATATATATATATAATATGTAAATAATATAGATATATATGTATGTATTGTATGCACATATAAATTTAATATGCGGTAACGCATGTGATTTTTATAAAACATAAGGAAAATCTCGATAAAAAAGTAAATGGATGTTTTAGGTGGGTTAAATACAGGTGATGGGGATCCCTATCACCTGCGTTTACGTATACTAAGACCTGTCGAATATTACCCGTACGAACGAGGACATTTCACGCTCATTTCAAAGCGTTTCAAATGCATGCATTTTAAAACACTTTTCGTTCATGACGTTGATTATTTTACTTATAGGTAACGCACGTTACGTTAAAGTCCTACTCATTAGAAATTATCCCTGAAATCTACTGATAAAATGGAACTGCCCAGGGTGAACTCAGAAAAAGTAAGTATTGCGATATTTTCTTTCACTTCACAGATTGCCGTACTACTATTAACACAGGTATGACTTCTTATGACCAAAAAATGAACCAAGGCCCTCATCCAATGCCTCAATCCAAGTTACGGACACCCAGTCCCACCCGTAGGTAACTTTTATCTGTTCTTTTGATTGATTAAACCGTACATACGTACCCCACACACACCAATCCCTCTGTATTTTACCAAAAAGTGACCTTAACTAATGATTGATTTTATGGACTAATTTGACTATATAGTTGTGATTTGTTTTTCTCTTGACTGCCAATTGCTGCTAAAAGGATGAACCCTTGATATGGAACGATAAACCTTCTCAAGCTTAAGTCATCAAATTTCAGTCTTAGCATTGATTATCAAAACAAAGATCATATGCATTTACTTCTGGACTTGTACAGTAATTTTAAGGACCCAGACTCGAAAAGGATAAAATTCCACCTTAGCAGTCTGTTTATGAATGTAAGAGAAGAAGCCCTCAAACTGAAATCTGTAATATCGTAGTAAACTTGAAAGTAATTTACCGACAACGGACCTTAGCGATTTTTCGACGTCCAGGGAGAATCGATTCTTCGCAGCGGTGCAATGAGTAGTGGTTCCCCCTAGAGCTCAATCTGGCATCATTGTTTCCAGTAGATGCTGACAACAAGATTAGTAACTAGTACATTTATCACTACGTCGCCTTGCCATTGTCAACGGTAAATGGCCCGAGACTACAGAAATTACGCATAATGTCCCACAACTAGTTGAGAAAGACACTTTTGAGACTTGATATGATGACCTTCAGAAATTTGTAGATCTAGGGGTTTTTTGTTTCAACCTACAGTTTCATTAAAGCGAACTGAAGTTCAGCTCTTTGGAGAGCAGCATAACTAACAGTTAAGTTGCGCGAGCCAGAAAGCTTTAGCCTGTATTATTTTTGCACCCCTAATTTCTTTTGAACATTCAAACCTTTTATAATATTTCCCCAAGTTCTGGCCTGTCAAACAAAGAAACCTGCAGTAGAGATTCTTTTAATACGATGAGCACTGACATAACTTTTGGAGCTCAAACTTTACTTAAGGCACCCTAATAACCTTCTATTATACCATTGCAAATGTACATTTTATGCATGGTAGATACCGCACCCTTATTGGGGAAAAGTCAAAATGAAGTAAAATATTTCTTCGGGATCTAGTTTTTCGGTAGCACAATAAAAAACCCACTTTTGCCTTATTTTGCTGCAACATTAATGCCTTATTTTGAACTGTGTGTTTAGAAATAACACTGAATGTAATTTAATTTTCAGGAGTGGAATCGAGTTGATCTTCGCACGTGGATGTCCACACTGCCGGAAAATATTCGAAAGCGGCAATTGTGCGATCTTGCCCTTCCAGGTTTATTAGAGGCAACAATTTGTTTTGTGAATTTCATGCAAAACACGGAAACTGTCGAGGTGTAACATGCAAATTACGCTTCGAGAAGTAGGAGTATGCCTAATGAATATAATCTTTTGAATTACCACTGCACGTTTGTACATCGCAAGTTAGACACTAAGAAGGCTCGTAAATGCCTAGATACTAAGGGTAATACTAAAGTTATTTTATCAACTCACCACAAAAATGAATACGCAGACTATTTACGGATTCCAAAAAGAGGATATCTTTCAGCAGCTTTTGCCGTGGTCTCGTTGGTTTTATTAGGAAAAGCAGTTTGTAGCCGGAAGGGATTTCAGGAGGCACAAGTCTGCCAGTTTATGGTTAAGTGTAACTTTTATGTCAGATATTTTACTCCACAACTCCCTCCTGTAAGTAATCAGGCGAAAGAAATGGTAGAAAATAAAACTGTTTTTCATTCCTGCTATTTTTTAACCGCCGATTAGCGGGTAATAGTAAATACGTCTGGTGAATACTAATGATTAGAATTCATAAAACGATACGGCAAAACCTTCGAAAATCTCAATAAAGGGGAATACTGCGCTAATGAAAAGCTTATGCTGATAAAGTCCTAAGTAGTCTCAAAATAATGTCAAACACTTACCTATTGGCCTGCAGTCGGAAATATTTCAAGTTGCCTGCACAAGTTTTAGTGGCGAAACACGCCGTTTTTCATGTCGCTTATATATTGTTAGCCGATTTTCTATACCTGTTAAACTTGGCCGTGTCTCAACTAACAATGCGCTAAACGTTAGTTTCCATTCATATTTTATAAGCCACTACGCATTTGTCCCCCCGCTTTTTTCGAAGAGATATTTTATGGTTTTAAGACGTTTGGTTTTTCTCTGTATTAGCTAACTGAACGCGATCTTTCATTTTGGTCTAAAGCTTCTAAAATCATGTGTGCGCATGCTCTTCGACGGGAACTGTGGGCACTATAATTTCTTTTTAAGAGGTCTTTTTGATACACCGGAAATATTTCCATAAATTGAATCGACGTTCTGTACTACAGAATTTGAATGTACGAGTGTGAGGATAACATGCTAGACCGGTTTTCTGCATTCTGAACGGACTTACTTTAGTGGAATTGTTTGTTCTACCCATAAGCTTGCGATATGGCCTAAGGCATATTACTTCAAATTACTTCAAAATTTTAATCAGGGTATCATGAGAGTCGACGAATGCTGTCCAAATGTTTTGCTGAACACCTTGCAAATGCCCTTAAAACATGCCAAAAAACCCATATTTATAGTTCAGGCGAGGTATTCTTGAAGTGTACAATATTACTCGCACTTTATCTCCAGGATTCTTAGAGGCAAGAATGCTCTTCCTCTGTTTTTCAGAGGCTGGTTTTTGTTCTTTCTAGTTGGGCATCATTAGTGGGAGTTCAAAACATATGCGGAAAATATGTCATCATTCAATTACTTTTCAGCCAGTGCCGGTACACTCGTATTCAGGGTTTCCAAACTACAAACCATATATTTTCCTTGTACGGAAAATCATACATTTCTCTACAGTATTAAGTGGACACCATATGGGATTCGTAAAATTCAGCAGTGGATTTGAGCCATGTTGTTAATTTTACGATCCACATTGATAAATGCAAAGTCATGACGTTTTATAAGTGGCCATTTCATGCTAGTAGAAAATCGCACAATTAGAAACTTTTTTAAAACCGAATTATACTCTTTTTTGAGTATAAAACTAGAAGAAGACGTATTTGTCTACCGAATGAGCAAAAGAATGAATATTTGTATGCATGTTTTTGATGAAATATAATTGGACTTTTAGGGGCATAGAGAATCAGTGAGAAAACGTATGCTACTGAAGTAGTCATTCTTCTAGAGTATGGTTTGTAAATTTAGCCGAAAAGAAGTTCTTCCGAAAGCGGATATCCTGGGGTAACTGAATTATTATAGAATTATGCTTCCTGATGATTAGTTTTACAACTCCACTTAATTAATCTTTTCGAAACGAAGACGCATTCCAAAATTCCGGTTTACATTTCGTGAATTAGCCCACCTACTGTACGTACGAGAGCTACAGGAGATTGTCTGTGAAATTATGACCTGACAAGGTAAACCGCTGTGTAAACAACTTCATGAATAGATATCTAGTCAGTGTGCACGAGAGAAAGAAAGAACAAGGCAAGGTAAACGCAGCTTTTCGGTCATCGCAGGCGACTGGGTGAATGCACTTTGGTTGAAACTGTTTACACAATCATTTTCTGAGGTCTCCCCTATATGAGCGAAAAACGCCTGTTGTCAATTATTGTGAGATTGACGCCTTTTAATTTGGAGGTTAAACACGCACGAACTTTCGATTTATTGCCAACCTAAGTGGCACATATATTTAAAATCCAGTTTAATGTACATGACCTTTCTGAAAAGTCAGCTCGTGAAGTTTTGTGGGGACATAGAATGCCACTGGATGGTAAGATTAAACGTTGCAGCCAAGATCAAAGAATGTGTGGAAAAGAGAGCCCCGATGATTCGCTTCTCTTCGTAAGGCTTTGCAGACATTCAGTGAAGTGTCGGTGAATGAAGCCTGTTGGAGAAAAATCCAAAATGATAACTTCCATACTTTTCCGGAAAATATATGTAACCGGGGTCAAAAAAGTAACCAGTGGAGAGTGTCTTACAGGAATAGTGGTAATAAGGGTCATATGGGTGAGGCCTCACAGCGAGGAGTTAGAAAACTCTGGGAAAGAAATTGAGAAAAAACGTCAAAAAATTACCATGATATTTCGTTTTCGGCAAAATAGTAAGTGGAATTCAACCTCGTAATTCAAAGAAAAATAAAAACGACTATTAGTCAGTAATCACAGAAGTTGGTGAGTAGGTCGTGTCGTACTGTTATCAGTTAGATACCTGGACATGGTGGCGATATGGACGGATGGAATATACATAGGAAGACGTCCCTTACATCCTCTCATCTGGAGACAATTTTTTTCCTTTTTGCTGAAGAATTTTCTGCTGGGGTGCAGAACAACGCGTTTTTCTAGACATTTTTCAGTACCGCGTCCTCGGAGCGGTCTAGTTCAAAAAATGTCATCCTGCCGGGGTTGGGGTCTTTGACGAGCGTGACTAAATTCCGACTAAAAACTCTACCAAGCAACGCGTATTTTGATAAATATAGTAGGCAGGGCAAGGGAATGGTTTATAGCGGGTTTATACGAGGGCATTTGTGATGAGTAAATAAGCTGAAGATCTAGGAACTTCGTGGTATCACAAATTTTGTTCATCTATACTGTCGTCAGTTAAAAGGGTACACTATTTTTATAGGTTAATTTTAACAACAAATGAATTTAATGCCTCTTTACTCCGATGACTACCTCAAAGCATCTTGACAACCCTCATTCAACAGCTACCTCGAGGTCTTTTATTTAATTTTCTGGCAATCAATATCTCCAATTATTTTGTACTAGTACAATTGCTCCCCGGAGCAAATAACCTCGGCCATAAACTATGCTCTTACCGTAGGCAGTTCTAGATAGTAAACCTACGCCTTTTATCCTTACCGAAACTTATCTTCTTTTTCAGGCACTCACAATTCAGGATCCTATGCGATTTCTGAGACGTCCGATATCTCACCCGATATGGCATTTCAACCCCTACTTCTGCTTTTTGCCGATTATGTTAAACCACTAATAACGCAGTGGGCAGTCACACAGGAGACCAATTTCACCACCCAGCTTTATGGCGGAATCCGCTACTTTGACATGCGAATCGCCATCCGACCGACAGAAAACAAGCCACTGACAGGGACGTCACACAAATTCTACCTGGTCCATGGACAGTACGCAAGCTCTGCCGTTGAAGAATTGTTGGAAATACGATCCTTTCTCTATAACCATCCTAAGGAAGTAATAATCGTTGACTTTCAGCACTTCTACGAAATGTCATCTGTCCAGGTCCAGGAGTTCGAACGAATAGTTGAAAAGGTATGTAGGCACAAAGCTGACCGTTCTTCCTGCTGCGACAGACATTTTGCTCTCCTCCATGTTGTAAGCCTAGAGAAGGCAAATATCTCATGAAGGGTTCAGAGCTATCGCAAAAGGAAGGCTAAAGTTACAGATGCAGATCGTACGGGCGTTGGGGACAATGAGGGTTTGGAAGAAACCAATAGTTATGCAAGGGCACAGACTACAACTACTAGTATCCTACTAAGTTTAAGTGGCGTATTCCCGCAGATACCTATCTGAAGCGTCCAGAGTTTATTGCCTGAATAGCCAGTAGTCAGCGGATTTGTGAGTAGTTCTGACCTTGGTAGTGCAAGCCTTGTTGGTATATGCCAACAAAAGAAAGGCTGCAACAACCTCGAGGCAAGTTATTTACGTCTGAAACATTAGTCTAAATGCTATAGACAAAGTGCATAATGGAGAATAGTGCAGTTAGGTTCGCCCGCTTAGAGCATTCAAACAAACGCGAACTTCTGTTGATTAGTCAACCGTAAAGCATTTTTAATGCGCGTTTTAGTGTTAGCCGTTTTAAAAGTTGGCGAAACCCTCTTAAGCTCGTTACGTAGCAATGTGAAGAATCGCAAGATTATACGTTTGTCTTTACGACGACTATAAATACTTTGAATACGTTGCGCGTAGTTTACGTCCATGAAAGTGTTCTACCCCACTGACAAACCAGGTATTGCCTAAGAACTCAGACAGATGTTTACAAAAGTTCTGCAACGACACGGCCGAAAGGCGAAAATTTAGTTTATCATTCATGCCTCGATTCCATCTAGCGTACGTTAGGTAAAAAAACATTGAGTGAATCACGGAGGAGCCGAAACTGTCAGGGTTTTTTGTGTCCATCTAATATATTCTGTCCAGGAGGTGTGGTTTATTATTCGGATCTGCCACACGATTTCCGGCGACTTGTCTACGTTCTCTGATTTGCTTAGACTGCAGTAAACCATTTTAGTAGTACTGATCAGTGCCAATGACATGACTTCTGTCTATAAGATTAGGCACACTGGCTTTAGTGTATGCGAAAGTTCGGCGAGGTTTGGTCCTGCGGCCCCACCTGAGTGATACCATATGGCGCCGGCGTACAGAATCCTGCGGAGCCATCTCTAATCTGGCGTTGTTGGTCGATGATTGGCTTACACACCATATAACTGTCTCTCGTTCTGTTGCTGCTACTATCTCTGACGATGGACTCCTTCACGAGTTCGAAAGCTCAGAAAAATAAACAAGATGTTCCAATGGTCAATCATTCGTCTTTTTAATTTATATGGTTAGATTTCCCGAGATATTTTGGAAGATGTGGATATGCCGACTTTACAAATATCACGTATTTGCATCTTTCTTTCCACTTTAATCCAGCGAGCGACTGTACCACGGGGGAGAAGTGCTAATATGCCAGTCTCGGTTACTTCGGATATCAGTTTACACGCGCTTCCCCGTGCACCCTTCGAGCCCTGCTTGCGCTCTTTTTATTATCTTAACCCAGCAAGCGGTCAGATAGACTTGCTTCTGGAATTATTCGGACGGTGTGGAACTACGTCGGTTCCACTACAGTGGCCATGCACTGTAAATTACCACGCGAGTCCCTCCGTGGCCTTCCAGTTGTGGTGGCGCCCTCCTTATCCTCTTAGTCCAGAAAGTGGCTGTGTCGGGAGGGAGTGTTTACCCGCCACCTTCACTCACTTCCCTGAGCGTGCTTCGACCTCTCTGCTGACGCGCTCTCTCTCCCTTCCTATTCCAGTGAGCAGTTAGGTTAGGTATATCGATTAATAGTGTTTTAGTAAGCTAACCAAATGGTACCAATCAAGTGGGGCTGCAGAAGTAAACCTCGCCGAAATTTCTACTTAGCTTGAAAACTGATATGTTTTTCCTTAAACGTATGATGTAGAACATCTTAAGGTACGCCTGTCACATTGACATTTCCCGCCGTGTATGAAGGAAATCAGTTGAAATTCAATTGAAAATATATGTTCGGGCGTTTTCTGAACGCATTTTTTCCGAAGGTTACAAACTTACATGTTTACAACACCCTTACAGATTTTTGGGAATATGCTTATACCATACCAGAAAGCCATACCGTCCCTTTCTGATGTGTGGGAGCGTGGGCAGCAGTTGCTGGCAATAAGTCGACAAAAACGGTATCCCCTGGGCAGTCACGTTTGGCCTAGGGCAAGCATAAGTCAACCGTGGGCAAATACTATTGATCCGCAAACGTTGGCGAAGTTCCTTGATGACTACTATCGGTGAGTTCTTCGCAGTGTATGTTCTCTCGCAGTAGATGCAACTACCGTTAATGTTTATCAAGTTGAATTAGGTAACACGTCCTATGTCTACTCTCCTTCTCTCGTGTAATTACAGCCCAAGAGCACGTGAACGAAACCGCTTCTTCGTCCATCAGGGCATCTTGAACACAAACATTGACCATTTTTTGTCAAATCCTGACACAACGCTGAAGGAGCTTGCTAAAGAAGCCAACACGGTGGTCGATAAATGGCTCACACATCCTCCAAAAGTTTCTGACCCTGGTGGTGTCAATATTGTCATTACCGACTTTTCTATCAAACATTTTCCTCAGTTTGCTGCCAAAGTCATCGCAATTAACTGGGCACATCCGGAAAGAAACTAATTTTCCATTGCTCGGCCTTGTTGCGTGGCTCACGAGTATTCTTATGCTAATAGGAAAAAATGCAATTCTGTTTTTAAACTGTGTGTACTGTAGTCAAAGCCAAGATGACCTATTAAACTGTTGACCCCCGGGGGCGTTTATGTTTGGAACGTTCATATGGTTTGTCTTTGGTACAACTGCCTTTACAGCAAAGGCGACAAAATAACATCGTAAAAATCGAAGTAATGTTTTTCATATGGTAGTTTTAAACTGAACATTCAAAACGTAGCATTTTGAAAATCAGACGCATTAGTTTGACTTTTGTATGTGACATAGTTCTAGCTACGTACACAAGGAATCTTACATTTCTTTCAAAGAACTGACTAGGTATAACGGTGTCTGTTTCCATAACCTAACTACATACTCCAACCAGAGCTTACTTTTTCCGGGGTGACTTGCAAAGCGTAACCTGCTTGTCTATTATGGTCTGGTTACGGTCTCCGATTGCAAAGTAGTCAACACACGCAGTCATTATACGTTTTCCTTTCCCTGACTTCAAAAACCGCGACTGCTTAAAAAGGGCAAAGCAATTGCTCTTATTGTGCTGCACTAGCCTAAGATAAAGGTTTTCGACTCAATTATGCTTCTTACCGAGGTCTTACGTCGGAACTCAAACGAAGGTCAACCCGAATATAAGTACTTTGCTTCCACCCGTTGTATGAAGACAAGTTGCGTTCTTGCCATTCCCGTTTGCATCTCCGATGCACCTTAACGTCTAAGAAAATTAATCCTCCACACTTTTTCTTCCGAAGGACGCCTCCGTGCCTCGTTAATGATATTATTTTATGAAGAGTTATATAAGTTCTCGCAAGCTATAAGTTCGCCGCCCTGACGTGAATATTCATTTTCGATCGTGTTTTGCGTCACTGCCAATTTCAATTGTATAAATATTGATTAAAAACAGTGAAGTCATCCTTATACATCGGTGTTTGGCAGAGACAAGTCACCGTTTTACGTGACATTTAACTGACCATTCTTTGATGATGGATTCGAGTGAGAATCGGAGACGTCAGGCAAATAAATTTCTTGTTCCAGTAAGTACATCTTCATCTTCTGAATTTAATTGACGGTTAACATCTGGTAAGATTTGTCTCAGCAACCGCCATCAGCAATTCGAGTTCATGCTCGTGACCGAAACATTCGCGGATAAGTGACAGCTATTGTAAACAGATGACATGCAGGCAGGGGACACGTGCTCGCCTCTGATAAGGATATGATCACGCCTGAAATAGCTGAATTCGATATTGTCACGGAGTGCGCCCTCTCCCTTCCCACGCAGCGGCAGCGGACCTAGGCATTGGGGAGCAGGGGTCTACACGCAACTGTTTGGTCCATCAAAGCAGTTATTTCATGCGCTTCTGGACCAAAGTTGACTAAGAATATTCGAATATGCACGTGTTCATTTTAGGACAGCTCACATTAAAGTTCCTAATGTAACTGAACTCCTAGATAGTGCGCTCAGAATCCGATGAGTTCATTTTTACGGTGCGGGGACCCTAATTTTTTACCCTTGTCTAATTGCGCGTAGTTCGGCATTATGCATGGCGTACTTCACGTATGACTTGATCGGTTTCCAAGGCAGAGAATTCTTTACCAGTATTGAATATTGTCTGGCTATAGATTTTATCTAAACCTTGGGCGGTAACCTCTGTTTTTGACTGACCGTGAACATTTGGAAGCAAAGTATAAGGTTTTCAAGTGCATGGTAATTAGATATGACAAATGACGTCACTCTTGGCTTAGTCAGTAGTGTACGGAAGCAAAAAGCGAATGAAAAATGTTGAGGATATTAGGTTTACTGCGTACTTTTCGTATTACAAAACTGTGAAGTGAGCATAGCAAAAACCTTCAAAAATAACGTTATTGGAATACACTCACAAGAGTGAAACAATCTAAACCAATGCGCCCAAGAGTTGTACGAAACAGTCCAGTTCTGCGACGCTTTTAGCTTTCTTCATATTTAAAATTTATTGACGAAAGTATAAGTGTTTCATGAATAAATATATACAGTAGTTACACAAGACATCAAAAGAGAGGGCTGATGACATTTCATACTACATTATAAATAAAAAATATCTATAATCAGCGTATGACCCTTAGAACTTTGCAAAATTAATCGAATACTGATTAACATATGCCTCCTCCTCCACTTGAATGTTTCATCAGTTATCAATTACAAAATGCAACAAATTTTGTAATGTTGCACAGAATACTGGCTGAAAATTTATTCTTATATTCCATATTGACCCTTATATTCCATATTGACCCTTCCCCCTTACTGCGTGGGTTCGAATCCCACCGAGGCGCAGAGTTTTCACAGTTGGGTCAATATTACTTATTCAAAATCTGCCAAAATATCAATGAATATCAATGTATTCTTATATTGTCCGCTAGTTAGGAGTTTAGGTAGTCTTGCATGTATTTACCACTCCTGAAATGATCATTTTCATACGATCAACTATCCAGCCAAAATCTCCCCAAACCAAACGACTTCCAAATAACTGAGGTCTTCAGTCCGTTTACCTGAGTCTCTAGCTGACTTTCATGGATGACTGACTGCCAGAGTGAACGAACGGACTGTTTGTGACAAAAAACCAGGTACGGCGACCGCTGCGAGCATGTTTATGTAAGTAAAAGTGGTCATGAGATTGACGCAAACGTTCTTGCACGAACAGCGCGCGCATTTGATTACTAAGGTTGCAGCGATAGTTAGCAAAAGGCCAAGACTATCGTAGAGCTTGACCATGCTCGCAATTTCCGAAATAAATAGGAAATCCAGCAGTAACAGTGTCAGTCCTTCATGACGGAAGCTTACCAGGCTTCTGCTCTCCGAAATGATTTGGTACAATCACGAATAACAAGTGCGTTAAAAATAACCGCGGGCACATTAAAACGTGTATATCTGCAACACTACAAAAGAAACTTTCGAGGCAGCGGCTGGTGGACTATGGCGGCACCTAAGCAGAATTATGACAGGTGATTTACATTAAAAATTCTGGAATTTGCATTCTGATTTCGTAGCGGGCAGGTACCATGATGGCAGCTCAACTGCAACATAAACGTAACGCAAGCTCCTGCCTACCGCAGAGGGTTCTAGATATGACAAGGTTTAATATTCAGACCACTTTGTCTGCAGAGAACATAGGTTGGCGATGTCCATTATTAGGGGGAAACAACCGTCTGTAACTCTAGACGCAGTTTTCAAAAGTATTGGGCCGCGCTTCGTCCGATTGCATAAAATTTCAAAAATATGCATTTTTTCCAAACCTGTGCTTGTTTCGTGCGTTTTGGTGCATTCCTTGACTTTAATTCAGCACCAAAGAACTAAAAGAGCTACTATCTCTTCTAAAACAAGAACATACGAACGCCGGGCTGAGGATTTTACAGTCTAGGCCTTGAACTCCGTACGAGAGTCCGTCTTTGTGCACTACGAAAGAACTGTAACACATGTGCAGTAGGTGTGCTAACGCATGAAATGTTAATCGAAATTCTGAAAAACGTTTTCGTTCCGAGAAGTTTACTTAAGTAGGGTCGTAAAATTAATCAGCATGCAGCATAACTCTAAAATAATTCAGTTACCTCGAGCTGCCGGCTTTCGAATGAATTTCGTTCAAGCCGCATGCAAAAGATACACTGAGGAAAACAGACTACTTAAGCAGCATGAATATTTCTCAGTTATTTTCGGCAGCTTTATAAATCCAAATATACTTTATGTAAAACATGCATAAAAATATTCATTCTTTTACTCATTTGGTAGACACGTACGTCTTTCAGTTTAAACTCGAAGAAAAAGTATAATTCTTTTTCAGAAAGTTGTTAATTATCTGATTTTTTAATACCGTGAAATGCCTGTTCATAAGACATCGTTTTTCTGCATTTTCTGACGTGACTTGTAAAGTTAACAATATGGCTCAAAGCCACTGCTAAATTTTGTGAAACCTATACGGTCTCCTCTTAATATGCTAGATAGATGTACGGTTTCCCTTACGCGGAAAATCTATGGCCTATATCTTGGGAACCCTGAATGCAAGTTTAACGGTACGTCCGATCCAAAATTTTTCGGGAATTGGAAAAGTTTTTGAAGACCCAATTATACCCTTTCTTTGAGTATAACATTGGAAGATGTAACTCTCTACCAAATGAGTAAAAGAGTGAATATTTTTATGCATATTTCCCATGAGAAATAGCTGCTTATACAAGGGCGCCAGAAATCAATTAGAAACATTCATGCTACTTAAGTGGCCTTTTTTCCGGAGTGCGGTTTTACATTCGGCCGGGAAGAACTTCATTCGAAAGCCGGCATCTCGGGGTAACTGAATTATTATAGAATTATGCCGCGTGATGATTAATTTTACAACCCTACTTAAGCAACCTTTTCGTGACGAAAACGTTTATAGACTTTCGGTTAACATCTCATGAGCTAGCACACCTACTGTATGTCGTCTTACGACCCCTGGGGATGGATGGAAGAAAGAATGAGTGTCCTTGGCTACTGCTAGAGCCACGGTGGTTGTCGGTCGTGTTCTCACGGTATCATGACTTTGTATGCCCTCGGCTGGAAACTGGGCCACGATGCCTGGCCGTATGAGTTTAAGGCCTCGTGGCAAATGGTCTGTGAATATGTATTGGCACGGGATGATGACTTGCGGTGGCCCATTGGATGCAGCAGGGCCGTGAACTGGCTTCCGGCCTATTTACTCTTAAGTTC